CCTAAAATGATTTCAGCCCCGCCTGGAGCACAGAGGCACTGCCACGTATGTCACCTTCAGAGCCCCTCTCGCCTGTGACTCCAGAGGGGTGTGCCCACAGGCTGGGACCGTGCAAAGGTAGACGGGCAGCTGTGCGGCAAACCAAGCACCTGGGGAAAAGAGGGAATAGCACAGAAGAAAAGGAGCAAACTGAGTGCTCTGTGCTTTGCATGTGTGGATATGTGTAGGAAAAAAGTAATGTGTGGTGATGAGGGAAACACCTGCATGTTTCTGTGGCTGATGAAGGGGCTACCAGAAAGACAACAAGAATATGTCAGTTTCTGAAGTGGAGCCAATGTGTGTGTGTGTATGATGTGGTAGGCCCAGCCTCCCTGCAGGGGTGAATACCCCCAAGCCACTACCATAGAGTCATTGCTAAATTAAGTATGTCTGAACCACTTGCTCTTTCCTTGCATGTTTGCACTTGTGCAGGAAGAGCAACAGCAGAAATTCCTCCACATAGGAGGAATTGTGGCAAGACTCTAGAAACCTTGGGGGAAAAAAACCCACAGGTGTAGACTTAGAGGCACCTAACCATTAGGCATACAAGGACAGAGTAGGAAATTAGAGACACCACTCATCCTGCACCTCTTTTTACAGCCCAAAGAGAGTTAATACCATTCTCCCAGGGAAAAGCACAGTGTGTCTTGGAGGCTATTTGCATGGAACTAGCCTTAGCACCCAGCCAGTCTCCCTTGCGTATTCCACGAAGAAAGAGAAGGGCAAGAGTGAATCACAGCAACAGTGACTCGGAGTGCAGGAGTTAGTTAGTTACCCTTCCTCTCAGATTCACCTAGATGGAGTGCAGGAGCTAGTTACCCTTCCTCTCAGATTCACCTAGACATGCCTCTTCCTCCATCAGCCTACCGGGGGAGCTTGGCCTCCCAGCTGGGACATCTCAGGGTTGGGCTGAGGAGATACCCCTTTTACTTTCCCATGTGGAGCTGGGGCAATACCCACCTCTTAATTCCAGGACTTGCATGTCAGCATGCACTTACTTAACAGAGCTAATGCGATAGCTGGGTGGATGGGAAGAGACCAGGCTAGGGGTTGTGTATCCCCTCAAAGCTTGTAGCTAGCCAAAAGCATCCATTTGCAGCTTCCTTTTATTACATCTGCTGGCCAGCTGTGATGGTAGGGTATGATTTCCCCCCTCCCCCAGTAGAGCCCTGCCAGCGCACACAATTACACTCACGCAACTTTCTGTTATTGAGATTATTGGGGGCTTTTATGAGGTGGACTGGTGCTGGTGGCTTTGTATCACCACGAGTACGAATCACAGCTCCGCTGGTATAATAGCTCCTTTTAAATCAGAAGTGCTTTGTCCATCTAGCAGAGTCTACTGTTATTTCTACATCTGTAAATCACTCTTAACATAAAACTTAATGATCTGCATCCCCCTTTTTCATGAACCCCAGCCAAACAAGAGCACAATGCTGCAGCTGTAGCTATTAAGCTATGGTGGCAGCAAAGCACTCCATTAATACCTCATGCTCAGCAGTTTGTGATGCATGAGAGCTGAATAATTATGCCCTTGTTACCCTCAAATGAGAAGCACAATTGCCAGAAACAAGCGTTTACAATTAAAAAACTGTATCAAGTCAAGGACAACATTTGTTCATTCATAAAACAAGCCTTTCTGAGCAAGAGAACTATGAGGCAGAAAACAGGCAGGCTTACGTTAACGGGACAGTTGTTTCTAGAGCTGTATCGTACCCCCTCAGATAGATAGACCTCCATAGCCACTTTATCCCAGCTGTTTTGAGAAACTAGCAGGCAGAGCTTTAGCCAAAGCTCTTGTTGCTATGAATTGCACTGCTAGGGAGGTTTAGTTTAGATTTGAGGGACAGGAATGGGAAGCAGGGCTTTAACAATGTGAGTATCAATAACCAGTGATGTGCAGACAGGCATAGGAGAGTGAAAATGGGTGTTGTGTTAACCATAAAAATAGAAGTGGTGAGAGTCTGTCCTCCCTTCTGAGGATGCCTTGTTGCTCACACCAGGGTAGCAGCTCCACATCTTTGGTTAGTGGTGTGCAGAGACCACAGAACAACGAAGTAACTGTTCCTTCCTTACCTACAGCTCAACACGAACAGGGATTTCGGCATCATGTCCACACTGATATTTTTGGAAGAGTGACAGCTGGTGCAAAGGAAGTAGTTAGAAGGAGGGCTGTAGCACAGACAGACTTGCATTATTTTGAGCAACATTCCACCATTCTCTCAGCAAGCGTAGGGCATGTGGTAATAAAAAACTTGTCATGCTTTTGTCTTACAATATTACGCTTTCAGTAAGTCCAAGTGAGGACTAAAAAGAGAGTTGAAAGCGTAATATTGTAAGTCCAAGTGAGGACTAAAAAGAGAGTTCTGAAGTACACCCCAAACTTAGCACTGCAGACTACTACATGCTTTCATGCAGCACATCTAGCAACAGATACCTGACTGGGTATTTGCTGTCCTCATCTGGCTGCACATGAGTCATGCTACAGAAGAATGTGCTGCTTATGCTGTCGCCTCCTTGTGAAGCCCTCACGCTCACCTCAGGACTTGCCAACTTCAAAACAGCCAAGTCTGTTTTATTTTCCCCGTCCTGTTCTAATATTCAGCCAAGAGATAATAGGTGACAAGAAACAAAGTGAGTGATCAGGATACGCGGGCTGGTCAAAGCAAGTTTTGCTGGGGTGCCTGGAGAGGACCGGAATTGCCAGAAGCCCTGTCTGGCATGCATGACAGCTATGTTTGCCAACATTTCTGTTTGTGGACCCTGATTTTTTTCCAGCGTGCATAATTTGCATTTTTGGATAATAAGCTTCTCTCATTTAACTTCCCGAGAGTCCAGGAAATGCTCAGGTACTCCCCATTCCTTTGTTCTCCCACCCATGATCCACAGAGCTTTCATTGAAAACCACAGCATAGTACAGACCACAAAAATCTTCACAGCTGCCATACAGTGTTACAGATGCAGATGTAGTCATGCGGCTGAGGCTTGACTTTGTAATTAAAAGGAATTTTTAAAAACATCTCTTGACAGGTTACAAAACAAAAGGAATAAAAGAAACCCTTTCAAACTGCTTAGGTAAGGAGAATTTTTAAAAACATCTCTTGGCAGGTTACAAAACAAAAGGAATAAAAGTAAAACCCTTTCAAACTGCTTAGGTAAAGGATCTCCTTGAGACAATGTTGATCTGATTATATTATCAAAAAACCTTCAGGCTACATTTTGAGAAATAAGCAAATGATTTGAAACAGTATCACTAAAATGCAGTGTTCAATTTAGAGCCACACTGACAAAAGAAGAGGACAAGAGGGCTTCAACTCCACTGAAAATACAGGTGGGAAGATGGCAAAGTCCTCCAGACCAAATCATTTCAATCACAGGACCACTTTGCCCTCTTGTGGGCAAGCTTCTCTCCTGCAGCTTCTCGGCAGATTCCTGTGCAGACAACTGCACTGTGCAGGCGGCACGAACAGAATTTAAAAAACGTTGCTGGCCTTCCTTGTGCTTCCTTCAGCAGGCAAAGAATAGCTATTCTGAATCCAAAGAGAAGTCAAACCCCAAACCCGGCCAAGTAGCTAACCTGGCTTGGTTCCTGCATGACAGCACGAAGGAGGCTGTGTGATAAAGCAGGTGGCTGGTCGTGCTCCTCGCTGTCAGGAGAAAGCCCACCCAAAAAAGCAAGGAGACACGTACGTGCCTTGAACAACGGATGCACAGGCAGCAGCGACCAGGTGGTGCCTGCGCACTCACAAAGGAAAGCCGCAGCCTGCCAGCCTATATTCTGCCCTGCTGCGCTATTCTGAGAATTTACAGTAAACTAACTTGGATTACGCTCCTGAGAAAGGAGTCGTCATGATTCTGGCAGTAACACGACTTAAACTGTGTGGTCATGCTCCAAATTATTAAATCTTTATTAATCTTTCTTAGGACTTCTGAGTTATTTTCTCATGCTGTGTAAATCCACCACTGACGTACCCTTTTAATACAATATTTTGCCTCGATTGTTTTCTTGCATCTGGTTTTCAAATGTAATTAAAAGCATTAGAGACCTTTTTCCCTTATGAATCCTTATGGTTACACTCATCTCTGGCAACTTCATCAAAGAGACAATTTCACCTTTAATGTTACGATATAAAGGAAAATATACTGTGGCATTCCAATTTCAGTGCCGACAATGAAGAAGGTGCCATTCTCCTCCTGTTTACAAGATGGCCACCAGGTAATAAAGCAATCTGTAGGATTCTGAAACAAAAAAGCCACCCTGCCAGAAAGCACGCAGGTTTATTTCCTTTTCCTCACCCCCTACCACTGACAAGCAGACAAACATTTTTAAAGGATCCAGCGGCTCCCCCTCAACCAAATAACTGTCACCTGCATTTTTCTACACCAGAAGAAATCATTTGCTCTTAACACCTTTTGCTAGTTCATGCTCCTTTCTTTAACAAGTCTGCCACTTTATTTTTTTCAGCTCCAAGTAATCAAGATGATAGGAAAGCAGCACTTGAATTATGCTTGTCACAGTAACCTGTAGACGACGGTAGGCATAAAGGCAATTACTGCAGACTAGTTTGGTTGGACCCTGTGCCAAGAGGCAATACTGACCTTGTCGGACCTTTCCTCCTGGAAACTTTCGGTGAGAATATCCAGCTTTGCAAGTTGGACCCTCTTCCCCAGTAACAGGCAAACACAATGCAAGCTCTTTCCTCCAAACCAGGAACAAGGAATGACGTTATTTCCTATGGTTGGCTCTGGGAGAACTACACAGCAACACCAAATCATAGCAGCAGAAATGAGAAACACGTTATTTACTAATATTTTATTTTAAAAATTATTACAAAATATTTTAGAAAGTTCTTAAGACCAAAAAAGCATAATACATTAAAATAGACCACTGGTTTAGAATGGAAAAAATATTTAAGCATTTCAAAATTATTTAAATGGAAATTCAAGGCAACACTGGCAACAAAACTGTATAAAATTTTTATTTTATATATATAAACCCACTGTATTACCATCCTGATTTAATAATTATTAAAAGTCACTTAAATTCTCAAAGGTATTAAAAGTGATAGATAGTTCTGAACAGCATAAAATTTAGTATCTAGAGAACTGCTTATGTTTACAGCAATAGACTAAAACAAAGATGAATTTCCATCTTAAAGGCACTACCAGCATCTTGCTTCGTTACAATTTTATGTAACCTTTCAAAAATTTCAGAAAGTATTTCTTTCCCTTCAGTGTAGAAAGCTTGGTATTTTTATTGCACAAATTTGAATGAGGATCACCATGATGGCCATTATGCAAAAACATCTTGTGCAGAGCTCAGAATTCTGCGAGATGATAGCTCACTGCTTTTTCAAGTTGGAGGGTGCACACGGAGAACTCAATGCTAACAGACCACAAGCCTTCCCTGCTATTTTTAAGCACAGAGTGCAAGCAGTAAGGTACAATTCCTTCACATATTTAGAACCCAAAGGGTACTGGTAGCATTGTGATTTTAATGTGGGCTAATCGTCGAACACAAAAATTAACATTCACAACCTACACAATGCACATGCAGATTTTCGGAGCAGAAACTCACAGTCCAGCCACTTAACAAGTCCTCACATGTCCTGGAGAATCCTCTGCACTGATTCTCAAGGCACTGTAAACAAAGCCTGAAGGTGGGTGCAGAGCCTTTAAATACTTTTGGACGAGCTCAGCTGGAAAAAGACGAAAGCTTTTAATGTGTCTGAGCAGGCTGGCAACACCACTGCCAAGCACCGTGGCGAAGAAGGGAGAAGACAATCCCCAGGTAGACATACTGGGCCAGTTGCTTCTTTCCACAGGTTTTACTACCAGTTAAGATTGTAGAGAGATGGTTACTTTGCAAACAGAAGAAGAAATTTAAGACAGTTGCTTGTAACAGCACTTCTGCCAGAGCTGCCAACACTCTCCTGAACAGTCCCTAATCCACTGAAGTCAAAATCAGCCACCTTAATGTAAGCAATTTAAATAGCTGGTTTAAATAAAGTAGGCTGATTTCATCAGAAGCAGGCTGGGAAACAAGCAGACCACTTTGCTGACAGAGAGCGGGAGGGGTAAGAGACATCCACCCACATGCGCAGAGCTCCTGCAAAACCAGATGTTTAATCCAGCTCCAACACCATTCTCTGGGATCAGTCTAATTAAAAGACAGACACTCAAAGCCTGGATCTGACACCAGAAGCATCAAATGGGGCACGTCAAGACTGCAGGAGACCAGTCTGCTCAGCCATTACCCTCTGTGAGGGCAGAGGAGCTAGGAGGGACACGCACCTGCCCCTTTATCATAGGAAGCTGATAAAGCAGTTAAGGAAACGACCCCGCAGAAGCAGAGGACAGCATACACACTACTAAACCTGCTTCTCAACTATTTTAAAACAGAACAAAAAGAACACTTCATACTTATAAGCCTAGGATTAATAGTACCACCATGCAGAAACTGCTTTGTTAGCCAACAACTGGTTTGGAAGCAACAATTTAGCAATTGCCTTAAACCTATAACCAATATGCGACTTGTCTGCTCGTAGTATTTAACTACTGTGTGACAGATTCATGCCAGCTAAACAGCGTCTGGAACGGAGCAGTATGCATTGCTGTAAAGAATAGCAGGACTCTTCCTATTAGTAAGCTCCTGTGACATATGGGAAAACAACTAACCAGTTTCCCCGAAGACTATTGTTTGTTGTTTTCATTAGCTGACGGCAACGCTTGCATCCCTTTCAGTCAGAGATGGAATCTGATCCTCAAATCTATACGTGGATCAGTCAGCTGGTGAGAGAATGGGTATAAACTACCTACTTGGAGCAGCTAAATGAAAACGAAAAAACATGCCAAAACCCCCTCACTCTAACAACCCAAACCAGGCCAGGGATGCCAGCACGTATGTAGTAGGAGAATCCATCAAACCACTCTGCAAAGGCTGGCAGTATTTGTTTCAAAAGGCCTAATAGTCAGATCATGGGAGTTAGATCTCAGTCAGAGCCACCTTCTTCTGACACCAACTCCTTGTGGCACTTTTTCATAACAATAACTTGCTCAGTATTTCAGTTTCTCTGTGAAGTATCAGCAGTAGGTATCATAGATAGGGAGGCCAAGGCAGAGAGATGACTTTACAGATCCTTTTCAGTACCAGTATATCCAATTCAGGAATGGACACCAATAACAAAGCACTGAGGTGGGGAAAAGTCTATAGAAAAAGCAACCAAAACCCAGAACTCTCTTCATATATTTTCAAGCTGAGAAAAATTACAAGAAAAATTATCTCAAGATAAAAGTTCCATCATGGTGCTGCATTGCTTAATAAATATCAGCAGCACAGTGTTACTCTTACACTATATTTACAGCTTTTAATTATAGATCAAGATTTATAGACTACAGACATTTTGATGTGAAAACAAATTCAGTAGAATCCTGGGCAATTAAAAAAAAAAAAAAAAATCAAAAAACTCCCTTAGAATGTTAATCATAGATATGGACACAATCCCCCAAGTAAGACACTGCAAATCATAGCAGAGAGATTTCTCATTAAGGCAAGTTTCTTATCACCAGTAACACTGCTTGTAAACAAAACATCTCTAATCTACCCAGTTTTCAGAGACAGCTACAGCAAGCTCTGTACACCTAGTCTGAGATCAGGTTTTAGTGCAAATGGACACTAATAAATACAAGGCAAAAAAGACAGTCCAAAGAGCATTTCTTCAGAAAGCAGGAAATTCTACGAAAGAAAGTATGTATTTTATGCATGGCTCTGAAACCAAGTGACAGCTTAAACTTGATGCTTCACACCACCTGTCAAAATCTTACATCCTCCAAGCAAAGTGTAGTGTTAGGCTTAAGTCTCAGAGCTTAGAGAGAGAACATCACAAACTCACATTCATCAGAAAGTGGCAGCACTGGAAAAAAAACCTTTGACCTTCTACAGTGCTCTGTCTTACAACAGCTTCCTCATCCTTTTCCAAATGCAGCTTGCTCAGCCAGTTTCTGGAGGGCTTAGTCTCAATGCTGCCACAACAGGTTACAGGACTAGAAATTTGTCAGACTAGGGTATTGACGAAACGGAGTTAACACCTGGAAGACATGGCAAATGTCACGAGCACTCAAACAAGAATTGTTTTTGCATAATCAGCTTTTTCTCATTTGCTTTGGTATTTTGGAACATCTCTGGGCTCACAGCAATTTGCCCTACTTTTGAAGGCTTTCCTCTTCAGTGAGGTCTAGCAGTCTTGCTTCTACCTCAGACATCTGAAAAACGCCTTTTCACCACTTCACTTCTTTTACAGCCATCAACATCTAGTCCGATATATCTGTCACTTGTCTGATACGTGTTGCATCAGTAGTGTTTCTTGCAGTCCTACAGCCTGTCGCTTTTAAGACAAATCAAGGGTACAAGTGCTTATCTACCCGTTTACCAACTGACCTAGTCAGTAGCAAGAAGTGTCAAGCTAGTGCCGTATTTATAAACAAAGAAAACGACGGGGTCCATAACCATTCTGGCAAAACTTACCATTAACTATGCATAAACAAGCTGCATATGGTTATTAATCTTGTGAGTAATATTCACCAGGATAGTACCAATGTGCTGTAATGTTTTTTCCCATTGATGTTCAGATTGTTACTTTTTGGGTTACTTTGTGAAAATATTTATTCTTCCATCTTTTTTCCTCTCACAGCTGGCTTTTCAAGGTTCTTCCTGCAACTTTTATAGCTTTTGAAATAATCTGAAAGAAGATTCTGGCATAGAAGTCCAAACCTTGACAATCATGGGGTGCAAAACTGTCTCCTTAATTTACCATTACATTATCCTCCCCATAAAACCCCTACGCTTGCTATGCCATTAAACTGATCTCCACAGACAGAACTGAGACATATGAAGAATAAAAACAAAACAAAAACCCTTATGTAAGGATAAGCATTTCTGTAAGGCTCCAATTAGGTATCCCTTTTACATTCACAGTTTGACCAGTAAGTACAAAAATGAATTCTGCTGTACTAATTTATAATGCATAACAGAAGTATCTGAACCATTTATACAGAAAATATCTTTAGGGTATAGCTCAGAATTTATGCATCACACATTGACCTTTATCAGTCACCGCTGTCAAAATCAAATCAGCACGCTGTTGTCCTTAAGTTATTCTATTTAGACACAAGTTTTTTTAGCGTATGTCACCTGGACAGATGGCAGGACTAGCTATTAAGCAGGACCAGTTACCTTAGAACATGATGCTAAAGATGCCATTACTTGATCTAAGGATCTATAAAAATTTGTGATGAGTAATGCGTACAAAATTGATTAGAAGGAAGAGACAGAAGAAGTTGTTACCTACAGTGCAAAGTTCATTTTAGTTCATTTTAGTTTGCTCCATTAAGCAAAAAAAAAAAGAAATAATTCCAGAAAGTTAGCTTTGTTTATTCAGTGGCTGATTTTCCGTGGCACTCTGAGTGTTGCTAGGATTTTCAGAGCGTACGTCGACATTTTGTTTCTGACTGTGAAAACGCTGTATAATACTTTCAGCTAAAAATGCACTACTTGCAAGAAATCCAAACACCTGTGAAAGTGAAAAAAATATATGATTTTTAAAATGTACAAACATCAAACAATGTCAGAATCTTGTTAGAGAGATTTGCTGGACTATTTACATACGTTAATAACACTTATATATAAAGTTTCCAGTCCTCCTTAAATCGGTGGTTCCACTTAAATTAGAAACAGATCAGAAATCATAGTTCTAGCACATTTAATGTAAAAGTTTTTACAGTTCTCATTCTCTTAATCAATCGTGAACCGTACAGTATGTTCTAAACAGCCCTTAATAGTAAAAGTATATTCATTTTATTGCAAAAATTAGTTATTAAAGAAGCATGGCATTGGCGGTATAGCAGAATATTTATCCAAGAGATGGCTGCTGATTAAAGGGACTAAGTGAGGAAGAGTAACACATGGAAGGTGGAGGGAGACAAGATCTGCAGCGCCTAAGCAAGTCCTTACTGGGTTAGCAAAGGGGGATGAAGTGACATTTTGTTAATGACATTTCATTATTAGTCATGGCAAGATAGTGATAAAGGGGAAGGTTGTTTTTAGCAGCTTCTCTCAAACAAGGAAACACACACATGCATTATTCTAACTTTTACCTGAATTGTACACAACTGGTTTGGCCCCAAGCAATTTGACACTAGTAAGTCTTAAATCACAATAGTTGGGGGTTTTTTCCAGCTCCAGAAAAAAAAACCCTGAAAGACTTTATACTCAAACCATTAGGTTTGAATATATCAACATCACAGAAGATGACTATACAAAAACGTGTATCTCTAATAGCTCGTGCTGCCTGCGGAACAGAATTATTTTGCTTTCTTTTCTAACTCATCTTTTCTCATTCAAGAATAAAATCAAAATTTGATCTTTTAAACTCACATATTCACAATTCCAAGGTTATTCAAAAGAAGTGCCAAGTGAGTGAGGAATTGCGACATCCACAGCATCCCAAAGCCTCTTCAGGGCCTTGCCCTGAGCCTCTTCAGTGTTCCCCGGGAGATGCATGCCCTGTTGCTCTTCTAACTATTTCTGTCACTGAGGAAACTGCTGCTCTCACTGCAGCCTTTGCAAGTCAGCATTCTCCACATATGCTTTATAACGCCTGGCAAAAGACATGGTTTCTTGCTGACTTTGTGAGGGGGTGGCACTATGAAAGGACAATTGAGGAAAAAAGTAGGCATTTCAGAGAGAGGGTATGAGAGAACTGGGGAAGCTGTGCGAGAGGGCAACGTCACAACAGTAACAGATGACAGGGAATAACACAGGGCCAAGGCAGTGAAGTCTGAGGAACCCAGAAGCAAGCTGCAAATGCTGGGGAGCTGTAAGTGCATGCAGAGCTTTCGAGCAATCCTGAGGAATGCCTGCTCTTTGGATTTCCTACGGTAAGTTTCTGGAAGGTCTGAAATAGCTAATTCCTCCTGAAGCATCACAATGCACCGAATTCTGTTCCCTGCCCAGTTTCTTCCCTGCAAATTGAGTGAGGTTTATAGGGCAGAGAAATTAACATACAAGATAAATACAAAGTAAATTATGCAATTTTAAGACTTACACATGCAGCTTTTTCAACAGCAGACCCAGAGCTGGTCACAGCAAGCACTATTGATGCTAACAGAAAACAGAAACTTATGACTAGCATGGCCCCCAAATTCTGCAAATACAAAAAAATTAATGTTACAGAATTGTAGATATACTACCTGAAAAAGAACAAGCATCATAACAGCAGCTGAGTTAATCTGCCAGTGAATTTATGCTTTGAAACTTTGATGCTAATGGGAGCTTCAGAAAATATATTTTACAGCTATATTCCAAACAATATTCAACATTACCAACTATTTTAAAAAGTCTGCATTACATACTCCCCTGTTTTTGTCTTCTTTAAGTATTTCATTCATTTCATCTAACTTCTTTCACAATCAAATTCAGGCTCAGGTCAACCATGCTAGCATTATTCCCTGTGTAAAACATCTAGGAAACCAGAAACCTGTAAATGAACGTGCTCATTCAAATCTCTTACTACACTCCCTTATCTGTACCTTCACGTAAAAAAACCTACTGTTTGCTCCGAAGACAAATAGGAAGGGATGCTCATAAGACACTATAATATTCTTACTGACTTTACAGAGCAACTTTGTGCCACTTCTGGATCTTCCGAAATATAAAAGCATGAACTGTAACAAGTATGATTATTACCAAAAAGGAGGTAGGCTACACCCAGTAGGAAAACAGGGTAAACAGGCAAGTTACAAGTATCATGCTGGCAGTAAACTGTGTTCCGTATATGTACTTACATGCGATAACTACACAGTAGTATTAGCCTGCGTGAAAGACTTTCACACAAGTCCTAAAATCCTGCAGGTAACCAACATGACAATTTTGGAAAAGTTGTCAATATAAAAGGGATTCTCAAAGTTGACTGATTTTTTAAACTATAAGTTACTTTAATCTACCCTTTAAATAGGGAAGAAAAGGCGATTCATTCTGCATAGCCTTTTTACTCCACTATAGTCTTTAAGCACTTAAAAGAAATGGTTTAAAAAAAAAAAAAAAAGAAATCCTTACCACTGTCTGTACTTTATCTTCCCCAAATGTTTCATATACATCAGTGCAATACACACACAGGATCAGGAGGCTCAAAAGAAAGGCACTGCAGCTTGTGAATTCAAAGAAGTAAAGTCCGCCACACTTGATACAATCCTCCACTATTTCTTCACAAATAACAGCCAGAAGAGAGAGAATCTGCAAAAAAATAACATGCTTGAGTTGGACAAGTCTCTAATATCTTCAGCAAATAGACGTCTCTGATATGACCATTAATAAAGACAGCTGTAAGGAAAATCCTCAATCTACAATGAACCCAGTAAAATTCTGCACTGTTTTCTTACAGGCAGAAATAATTATGTAGTGACACAGTTTACACTTACTGTTAAAGTTGGTCAATTAATTACACTCGGGTAAGCTGAGCACACACTGCCAAATACAGGCTTCTTGATTAGACAGTCAAGATTCCTGATTTGTAGTTTTGTGCAATTGCCAGTTGGAAGCAGACGAGGCAGGCAGCGTGGCGAGCACACATCCCGCTTAGAACAAGCAAAAATGCTATTGCTTGCTACTTACAACTGCACTTAATTTTAAATGCATTTGGGTTCAGGGTGGAGGAGGAAATTGGATGGCATTGACACAGTCAGCTACCTCCCTGAAAGTTCATAGTCGACGTTACCTCCCTTGATAAACTTCAGCGAAAGTGCACATAGCTAAAAGCTCACGTGCTTATGACCCAGTAACGACAGAAGCTCAGCTGTACTTGTAGGAGCCAAAACTTTAAACTATGTTTAAGCTATGTTGGACAGTGTTTAATCTATGCAGAAGCTTACGTTTACCTTCCTGCCACAGTATGTTTTGAGGAAAGAACATGAGTTAATTCCTGTACAGTCACCATACATCTGCTGCTGGATTTTCTACTATTTTATTGTACAAGAAAGAATATTGCTTTATTTAAATGTTCTCTCATTTTGGCCACTTCTTGCTAGTTTCCTTCATCCCATAAAGTTGACACAGGATTATAGATTGTTGTAGTAAGGAGTTCACCAAATTAAAACCATTAGTAGGAATCAGACTCGTTCATAAAATTGAGACTGATATAAGGATGATGACCCTATTTTTAATAAATGCCCATAATAATATATGGGCAATAATTCTTTAAAAAAAACCAACAACCACAAATTCTATTGCTAGCAACTGCAGCTGCTTCATCTGCGCCTTACTCTTGGAAAACAACCACCAGCCTTTGGTTTCAGTTTTCTGACAGTAAAAATAAGAACAGCAATTTAGCACGTGGGAACTGTAAATTCCCCCCGCTATGCCAGACCTCAGAAGGGCACTTCAAAGCATCATGTTTTGAATATCCTGCAATCACATAAAGTAAACACGATCTCAGAAAGGGAAAGAACCCGAGCTGGGAAACTGCAGTATTACTATCAGGCCTCCACATACTTCCCTTTTCTCCCTCAGCAGCTGGCAAGGCAAACTTCTCAGCAGCCCTTGCGCCTAAAACAGTGACTATGATGGCTGCCCGAGGAATGTTTTGAACTCTGAATTTCCAATTTTTAAGGGGTTTTTTTTTGCATTTCAAAAGATTTGCTTACAGCTGCATCCAATGACACTCAATTTCACATTTTTCACAAGGTCAGCTGAAGTGTGAGATATGTATAGTTCTAGTGCACTGAAAACGGAACACTATCACTTTCACCTGGGATGAAATAGAACAGAAAGGAAATAAACCTGCCCTTTAAAGAATTTTAAGCCCAGATAACCATATGACCTAAATAACTGAAAAAACCCTCTCCGTTGAGCATACAAACAAGTAGAAAAAAATCCCACTCAAAGAGTAGCCATAAAGGGTTCAGTGTCAAATAAATGAGATTTACCTACTGGAGTCCTATGTGGGACTTGTCCAAGTCAATATTCAATTTTTTATTAATAAGCTGAATAACAAAATAAAGTACATCATTAAAAAAGCTTTGGCTTGAAGAACTTTGATTAAAGTAGTGTATCAGCAGCACATTTATAAGCTGCCAGAGAGTTCTGCTTGGGTTTCTTAACTTGCTTCTTGATATCACTATGAGAAACAAGAGGCATTACTCTGTTGTCCTACTACAAAAAAAGAATAGTTTTAAATACCACTAAAAGAGTAGCTCCTAACTTCAGTTTATATAGTTACAGCTATATAACACAGCAAGAAGTTTTTTCTACTATTAGCCAGAAGATTATTGTCTCTATTATTCATCTGCATGTTAGTAACATCCCACTATTAGATACAGTATAAATACATGCCTTGCTTTAAACAAGCCAGGAGATTCCACATTTCATTCAGTTTCCCAAGAAGTGTTCTGCCAGAGATCCAGCTTCATCCATCAGCATTAGTCCTGGGATGAGTGCAGACCTCTGCAGGCTTACATGAAGCAGCCAAAGCTCCTTCTGTTTTGTTTTTCTATCTGCCTCCTCCACACTGATCCCATGGAGAATCCCTAGCAGCCGATGCTCAGAATATCACTACTGCTTTTGTTTGAGCCGTCAATAACAAGCGGAGAGGGGCAGCTCAGTAGTTCCTCATTTTCTTGAGAGCTAAACCTTCCAGGCAGATTTTCTTTCACCCTGAAGCCCAGGGTAACAGCTGAAGACGAAAGCAAGCAGCCACCGCCCCCTTCCTTCCCTCTTGCCCAGAGCCCTGCACCGCTGCAGATGCAATGCCGGTGTTGGTGGGGAGGCAGAGGTTACCCGGCAGGTAGGTCAGGGCACGGTTGAGAGCACGCACAGGCTGCAGAGAGGTGCATGGGGACACAGACAGGCTGGCACCGGGCTCACTGGTCCCTGCAGGAAAATCCACACCTCGCCATATGCATGCACTGCTTGCTTTCCTGCGTGCTGTAAAGGGAAAAGCATCGTTGGAGATGCAGTTTTTTACTTTTTTTTTTTTAAATTATTACTCCTATCTGTGCATATGTACACCAGAAATTAAACATCTTCATCTGTCCCTTACAGCAAGAAGTTATTCATTGATACTGACATTACTGTTGGAAGTTTCTACGCAAGTGTCAAGTTTCTAGATTTAGTAAGTGAAAGGCTCCAAAAGAATGCTATGAAAATAAAGCAGATCAATGAACTTTCCAAACAGGCCTGTGAAAATGCTCAGCAGTGGTATTCCCAGTACCAAATCTTCTGGTTCAGAGAGGTGCACGTATTAATTCTCTAAGTCTCCACAATCAAGGCTGCTATAGGAAGTCAACAGCTCAGAAAAAGAGCAGATGTTTAAGACTGAACGACAATTTTCCTTTCCAGTTAAGGGCATTTTTGTTAAAGTCAAACAATGCTTGATGGCAAGTATTTCTGCTTCAGATAAGAATTCATTTCTACCTCAATCTTGGCACAATATGTGCTGTGCCATTTACCTTTGTGCAGAATTTGAACCAGTCACGGACTAACAAAAACATTCCACCTATATAAAAAATAAAATAAAAAAATCTAGAAAACCCTGCAGTAAGCATGCCTCCCAGCATCCTTTTGGCAGTTACATTTTCCTTATTTCATTTGCCCAAAAAGCTTTAATAAGGCAGGCTAAGATTACAACGTATGCCATTATTAATCAGAAGAAAAGCATTTCTAAGGTCTAGAAACCAGTTTTCTGCAGGTGATTTCACAGGATTTTGTAAAATACTTGATCACTTCTATAATGAAGACAGCTGATTTTCTGAGCGCAATACCCTGTTTAGCAGTCCACACGAGTGATTATCAGTGCGTAATCCCAGTAACAACTGACAATCACTATTGTAACACAAGGCTAATAGATGTCAATGACCATCACCATCACTGGCATTTCCAAAAATCAAGACTTTCCCAAAACAGGAACATTCCTCTTACTGGAGATACTGAGGCTTCCACCTTCACTAATTTCTGGGGCTTGTTTAAAGTGTTTTGACCAAGAACTTCAAGATCTGTGTATTTTGGTAAAGGGAAACAAAAAGGGGAGGGAGGGGGGGAACTGCTGGAAATTAGGAGGGTGAATGATTATAATTCCATTTTCTTTTTCCTCTCATTGAAGGACAGGTACAGGACATAAACTGCTAATTCTTTAGGAGCGTATCAAGC